ATATCTGTTCAGTAATTATATTACCGAACAGATTTTTAACTACGTAAAAATGACTATTGTGAAAAAAGTAAGTTGGCAAAGCTCAATTTTACTTAGTAATATAATTGTTTAGTATACGCTGTTCTATATGTATTAGAAATTTATTCTGGAAAGAAATTTTTTAAATTTTCTTGAGGATAAATTTTATTTTTACTAGGAACGCGAGATGGTCTCTTGAGTTACATCTCTTGTGAAGTCGTCCGCTACCCACGGAATGAATAAACAATTATACTAATATTTAATTTTATTTTTAGGTAACGAATTATCAGAAAGGTCATGATTTCGAAACTACCCTTCGTAAAATTTTTAATGATGCTGGGTTTATAGTACAAAAGATTCAAGTTACTGAAGGTGATGGAGGTTTAGATATGATAGTTTCTTATCAAACCAATCAAATTTGTGTCCAATCTAAAGATACGGAAAATCCACTAATTTTAAAATATGTTAAGGACTTAGAGTCAACAATGATGCATCATAAACATTCTCTTGGAATGTTGATATATAATAGTTCAACGATGAAAAAAGAAAAATATTTAACCAAACAAGCTTCTATTTGGTTAAACAATTCACCTCAAGATATTATTGTCTGTAACGAAAAGCAGGTTATAGAAGAAATCAAAAATTTCTTCAAAATTAAAAATGAGGAAGAACCAGAGGAACTATCAATCATGGATTTTAAAGCTGATTCTTTTGCTTTAATGGGAATTGTTGGTCAGAATGTACATATTAGAAAAATAACAATTAAAAAAAATACTTACAAATTCTCTCCATATTAATTTTATATCTATTTAGTCCTTTGACCGAGTAGATTTTCCGTACCTTTAGATTGGACACAAATTTGATTGGTTTGATAAGAAACTATCATATCTAAACCTCCATTACCTTCAGTAACTTGAATCTTTTGTACTATAACCAGCATCATTAAAAATTTTACGAAGGGTAGTTTCGAAATCATGACCTTTCTGATAATTCGTTACCTAAAAATAAAA